TTTTTTTTTTTTTTTTTTTTTTTTGGATTTTTGAGACAGGGTTTCTCTGTGAAATAGTCTTCTGTGTCCTGGAACTCTCTTTGCAGACCAGGCTGGCCTCAAACTCAGAGATCCACCTGCCTCTGCCTCCCGAGTGTTGGGATTAAAGGCGTGCGCCACCACTGCCTGGCTTTTATCTAGTGATTTAATCCCCTTTAAATTTAATTTAAAACCCTGTTTTATCTATCTTTTATATACTTGGATTAATTGAGTTGAGTAAAAGCAGAAAAGGCTGGGCTAAAACTCACACACTAGACAGCAGAGGAGTTGTGGTGGCAGAAATAAGGGAAGTCTACATTTGAGGATGTTTATGAATGGGGCATGAGCGCATGTGGGGCGCATGCCTTTAATCCCACCACCTAGGAGACAGGCAAGAAGATCTCTGAGTTTAAGGCTGGCCTGCTCTACAGACTGAGTTTGAGGATAGCCAGGGCTATAGAGAGAGACCCTGTCTTTAAAAAGAAAAGGAAAAAAACAATGACTAATGAATGAAGCATGATGGTGCACACTATCAAAAGAAAACAAAGAGCTAAAGAGATGGCCCAGGAGTTCAGGTGTTCACTTTTCTCACAGAGGACCATAGTTTGGTCCCCAGTAGCAATGTCAGACCACTCAGAACTACAGGGCTTTAACTATAGCTCTAGAGGATTTAATGCCTTCTTCTGGCCTCGGCAGGCACACACATGCCACACACATATGCACACACGCGCGCGCGCGCACACACACACAGTGAAAACATTTTTTAAAAAATAGGCACACACCTTTAATCGCATCACTTGGAGTCAGGGACAGGTAGGTCTCTGGGAGCCTGAGGGCAGCCTGGTCTACATAGCCAGTACCAGACCAGCTAAGGATAAATACTGAGGATGCCTCCCCCATGAACAAAAGGGGGGATAAATAATCTTTTTTAAAAAAGAAAGAAAACAAAGGAGAGGTAAATCCATGAATATGGTCTCTGACCCTTTGCCTTTCCATCAGAGACTGCCTGTGATATTTAGCTCTGCAAACTGCCTTGCTACAGAGTACCGTCTTCAGTCCCTGGGGTTGTTTTGGCTTGTGAACTACAGGAAGGTCATACCTATGGTCTCCTTGTTTCTGCACTGCTGCCTTTACCACAGCCATGTCTGATGGGAAGGTGTGGTTGGACATCTCAGACCAATTGACACAGTAAGACTTCAGTGCTGGCCTGGAGCCGGGCTTGGGGCAGTGGGCAGGGTACAGTTGGCAGTGTGTGTCTCCCAGGGTCCACGAGCTGCACTTCATGGACGAGCTGATCAAGGTGGAGGCCCATGATGCTGAGGTGCTGAGCCTGGACTACTCCAAGCCTGAGACAGGTGAGCCTACAGCAGGCTGAGGTCAGGTGGGCAGAGCTATGGATAGCAGCAACTGACGGGAGTGGAGTCTTCAGTAAGGGCCCTGTGGTTAGACTGGGCCAGGTTGTATGGATTCCACAAAACAAGACAGCTGTAGGCTCATGCTGGTCCCAGTACCTCAAGACCCAAGCTGCAGGCGTGTGAGTGAGGATATGAATAAAAGCTCATCCGCTGGATGGACGGGCTGATGGGTGTGCCCTTTAAAAAGCTAAATGTCTACAGAAAAATTGCAAGAATGTGATAGCAAGTACTTGCAAACTTTCTAGATCCAGATTTTCTTTTAAATCCAGTCTAACCCTTTGACTACATACATGACTTGCTCTGCTTTCCTCTTTCCATTGCTGTGTGTGTGTGTGTGTGTGTGTGTGTGTGTGACATACGGGATAGAATAAGAACATTCACATTTTGTTTTTTTGCTGGGTGATGTGAGAGTTCAGGAATGATGTCCTCTGATCCTCTAGCACCCTAAGAGCATCTACATTTACATGACTGTAGCATGCTAGGGTGGAACTCGGGGGTGGAGCATTACCTAGCATTGTACATTATAGATGCCCTGTCCCATCTTGGTCATATTTATTCATTCATCCGTGTGTGTATGTATATATATATGTGTGTGTGTGTGTGTGTATACATATGTGTGTGCACATACACACACGTATATATCTATCTATATGTACACACATATAAAACACTACCACACTTACCAAGTCTGTGTATTCCATTTTGATACCATGATGTCATTTATCCAATTCCTTACTGAAATTTGGTTAGTTCTCTAGTATTGCCTTTCCTAGAACCTTTGTTCCTAACCTAGGCTCACATTTCCCAACGTCTTGGCTGTGTTATCATTTTTACTCTGGAGCGCTCCTACAGTCTTAACTTTGCCTTTGGACTTTGGCTTTCTGCAGAGTACAAGCCAGTCATGTAGGATTTCCCGTTTTGAGCTTGTCATTTGGTTCAGACATACACGTTTGGAATACCCTATCTGTATTGTGCTGCTATAATGAAATCCTAGGGACCAAGTGTTCAAATGCCTGAGCCTGTGTGGAGCATTTCTTATTCAAACCAGCACACTATTCAGTCTGGGTGGACTTATCCCCCTGAGGTGCAAATGATGGTTTGCCATGCCATTTTTCCTTCCATCCTCCATACCTTCTGCCCATCAGAGTTTCTTTCTGTGTTTCTCCACCCTTACAACTTCTCTGAACTATCCTGGCCTCGGGCTGTGTGAAAAACTCAGCTCTATAGTGACAGAGCAGGCCTAGTCCAAGGGCCAATGCAGGAAAGGCCCAGGGAGATAAAGATGGTGGCAGAGAGCAGACAGCGAGGCCTGACTGAGGCCTAAGGAGCCAAGACTTAGAGCTGGGCATGGTTGTAAGTGGGGCTCAGCGAACGCCTAGGCCTCCCATTCATCCCTCAGAATAGACTTAGCAGGAAGGAGTGCCGTGGTGTGCCAAAGGGTCCACTACAGATAAGTGTGGCCCATACACATGCCAAGATTTGCCTTTACTCAACTGGTGGTAAGGGCGTAGGGGCTCAGGGAAAAGGCCACCCAGAGCCAAGGACTTGCCCTTTCTTGGTTTGAGGCACCCTAGCTACAGCTGTGAACCCAAAGACCCCCTTCGTCAAGGATTGGACATCTCAGTCTACCTGCTTACATGAGAGGCAGAGCATCTATGCAGCCTTTGGCAACCCATCTGTCCTCTCCACTCACAGGAGTAGCTTTGCTGGCTTCAGCTAGTCGGGACCGGCTTATCCATGTGTTAAATGTGGAGAAGAACTACAACCTGGAGCAGACCCTGGATGACCACTCCTCCTCCATCACAGCCATTAAGTTTACTGGTGAGTGCCTTCCCTCCCGCTTGCTAGATCTCAACAGACATCTCTTTGTTTGTAAGTAACCACAGCATGTCCTGTGGCATGCAGAGACAGGAGTGGCAACTGTAGATCTGAAGATTGGGCTTTTTGGTTTTTTGGTTTATAAAAATGGATAGATGGATGGATGGATGGATGGATGGATGGATGGATGGATGGATGGATGGATGGATGGATGGATGGAAAGTGGGTAGGCCAATGCAGTGTCATATTCCTTAAGTCTCAGCTGCTCTAGAGGCAAGAGGATTGTTGGGCTCAGGAACCACGACTAGCAGCCTACTTTCCTTGTTGCTTTGACAAAATACTTGGCAGAAGCAACTTATGAAGGATTTGTTTTGGCTCCCGGTTTAGGCGAAGATACAGTTCTTAGCAGGAAAACAAGACTTCAGTAGGAGACAGCATCCAAAGTCAGGGACAGAGAAAGGTGCATGCTGGGGCTTATCCAGGGCCCTAGTCTGAATGGTGCTCCCCACATTCAGGGTGGGTCATCCCTCAGTTACAGCTCTACAGATCTCCTCACAGACGTGTCCAGGGGTGCAGATGCACCATTACAGAGGCTGAGGGCATAGCTCAGTGGGCAAATGCTTTTATGTAAGCTGGTGACCTGAGTTCTGATTTCTGACACCCATATAGAAAGCCATCTATAAGCCTAGGGTTGGGAGGTGGAGACACACGGCTCTCTAGCTGAGCAGTGAGTTCCAGCTTAGTGAAAGATGAAAGACCAGTCTCAGAAATTAAGGTGGAAGAGGCAGGCAAGATGGCTTAGCTGGAAAAGGTCCTTGCCACCAAGCCTGATGACCTGAGTTTAATCTCTGGGACCCACACAGTGGGAGTAGAGAACCAGTTCCTGCAAGTTGTTCTCGGGCCTCCACATTCACACCATATACTGTGAATACAATAAATTAGTAAAGGTGACCAAGAATGATACCTGATGCAGTCTTTTGACTTTCTGTGAAATATATATCCAGTCATGTGTGGTAGCATGAGCCTGTAATCCCAGTGACTGGGGAGTGTATCATTTAAGACTGTCCTCAGCAAGGCTCTTGAGTTCCTTACTATGACCTCAAACTTACTGTGGAGCTAAGGATGACCTTGAGCTGATCTTCCCACCCTCCCAAGTGCTGGGGTTACAGACGTCACACACACATGGCCTTCATTTGTCATTTGTGTTTCATCTTGCGGTGCTGAGGCCTTCCTTAAACATACTAAACAAGATAGATAGATAGATAGATAGATAGATAGATAGATAGATAGATAGATAGATAGATAGATAGATAGATATCAATTTCTGGCCCTTAGTTGTTTGTCTTTGCTTTTTGAAACAAGATTTCCTATAGCCACACTGGCCTAGAATTTGAGTTCTTCCCACCTCAGATTCCCACATACTGAATGTATCACCACCCCCAGCTCTCAAAATGCTGTCCTCTCTGTACCCCTTCTCTTTGTTTTCCTGAGTATCCCTATTTTGCCCAGACCTGCCTTATGTACAGTTTGTGTCTTAAAAGGCCTCCCCTCCGCTCGGAACCTTTCTGATGCAGAGTTGGTGGTTTGTCCTGAGGTGGGGTTTTCCCTCCTGTGTAGCATAGGGTGGCACCGTCCAAAAACCCCTGCCTCCCCCTTCTCCAGGCACCAGGGATGTCCAGATGATCAGCTGTGGGACCGACAAAAGCATCTACTTTCGCAGTGCCCAGCAGGTAAGTGGGCTGGCCTCCTTGGGAACTAAGGTCAGGAACTTGTCAGGGGTATCTTCTGAAGGTCTTGCCTGCCCTGCCAGACCTCGGATGGGCTGCACTTTGTCCGTACCCACCATGTAGCAGAGAAGACCACCTTGTATGACATGGATATTGACATCACACAGAAGTATGTGGCTGTGGCCTGCCAGGACCGCAATGTGAGGTGAGGAGTTCCTTGTGCCTCTGTTGGCCTGGCCCCAGCTTGTCTCCAGCCTGGCTGAGTAAGGACGTACTTACTTGCTGGACTGTCTTCTCCCTGGCTACGTGCTTCTCCCTGCTCATCTGGTCCCTGGTGAGACTGATGGACCCAGCATGTGTTTCTTAGAAGTCTGGCTTCCAGCAGGGCATTGTATAGTATCTATAGTAGCAGATTCATGGAAAGGAAGCATTGAGGGGCCCCAAAGGGAGAAGCAGGCCTTTCAGTTCTGTAAGACAAAGTAAGTTTCTGGCTCTGAGAGGTTTTCACAGGGGCTTAGGGTGGGAGGTTTCATGTGACCTAGAAGTCACAGGCACTGATAACAGTAATAATTCAAGGTTGTTTCCCAACTGTGTGGAGGAGGGAAAGAACTCAGCTGTGTGATAGTTGCAAGGTCACAGCAGCTCTCTGTGGCTGGGACAGAGACTGCAAACAGATGTGGCCTGATTTCAGGGGAAGAGAGGGTCACTTGGGGTCTGTGATCCTCATCACAGCAGCGCGTGCCTGCAATCCTTGCATTCGGGAGGAGCATCAGCAGCTCAGAGCCAGCCCTAGCCGTAGCAAACTAGAAGTCACCATATGGCCTACATGAGACCCATCTCAAAAAGGGGGAAGAGGAGCTGCTCCACCAGGTTTAGCCACCAGCCCTACAGAAAGAAGACTTGTGGCTCCTGGGACTCATAACTCATTCACCTATCTTGCTTGGGTACCTGTCTGGGCTGGAGAACTCAGCTATCACAGTAGTGGCCAAGGTAGCCCAGTCCTTCAGGAAGCCCACAAAAGGACAGTGCATGGTGGTCCAGGCTGGGGTGAAGGGAGCCTTGGGAGCCAGTGTGACCTGTAGGAAGGTCAGGAGCTAGCAGGGTTGGCCTAAGGATTGTGTTCTCTACTTCTACCTGGGACTAAGCCCTGTGCTTGCTGGGTGAAAGAAGAGATACCAGCTCATCAGTACCCAGAGCATAACCTCAGCTTGAGGTGCGGGCTCCCACCCAGGAGCAAAGGGCAGCAGAGGTGTCTTCCGCTCCCACATGGCATCCCCACTTCCCCAGGGTCTACAACACAGTGAGTGGGAAACAGAAGAAATGCTACAAGGGCTCCCAGGGAGATGACGGGTCCCTGCTGAAGGTGAGTGTGAGACACCACGTACCCCAGCACAGAACCCCACCTTGCCTCCTCAGACCTGTACCGCTGAGTGGGCTCTAGTTAAATGGCAACAGGGTGTGGTTGGAGGAAACAGACATACTTCACTCCTGTCTTGGCTTGTCCTCCCACGGGACACAGCTCAGGAGGACACTTTCCAGAGACTCTGGGTCAGAGGAGTTGTTCTGAGTTCAGGCTCCCTGACAGACCCCAGCTGTGCCTCAGGCTGAGCGTCTCTGTCAATGCCAAAGGAAGCCGCTTCCACCCTCGGGTTGTTGTGTAGAGGGCTAAGCTTGCAGGCACTGAGCATTTAGCCTAGGGCCTGGCCACCATCATTCTACACTGGTGGCTGTGAATTCTTCACCTGCAAAATGGCAGCAGAAATTCCTGCCCTGCCGGGTGTCATGAGAGTGCCCTGAGTTGATTCCCTGGACCAAGTGTCCAGCACAAAAGAGGTGATCATTCAGGGGGTGGTACTAAGGTGTTTGGCCCGGGCCTCCCAATAGGAATAAAGCAGGCAGCCTGAGGTAACATGTCTCTTCCCTCAGGTCCATGTGGACCCCTCAGGCACCTTCCTGGCTACCAGCTGCTCTGATAAAAGCATCTCGGTGATTGATTTTTACTCGGGAGAGTGTGTTGCCAAGATGTTCGGCCATTCAGGTTGGTATCTGCCTGAGCCACCTGCCCTGCTCCCACAGCCTGACTCAGAGTAAGGATGGCCTCTCTCCTTGCTTGCAGAAATCGTCACGGGCATGAAGTTCACCTATGACTGCCGTCACTTGATCACAGTGTCTGGAGACAGGTGGGACGTGTGGAGGCTGCCCCTGGTGGGCCTCCCTCTAAGAGTAGGTGGGCGCACAGCGTGGCAGAAAGACTCAGCCCAGCTTGCTGTGCTTCAGCCTGAGGAGAGTGCTTCAGAGCTCAGGCTTACTCATATTCTCTCCCCCCCCCCAGCCTGTTTGCTCTGTAAAGACGTTCAGTCTGTCCTGAACAGGGTGACAGCTGAGAGGACAATACATGACCTGTCCTTCGGGATCTATTGATCCCAGGGAGGTCTTTTGTTTGTCCCTTTGGTTATCACAGTTCTGCCCCAGAGCTATTTGTCTTGAGTCTGGAGGCCCCTAGTTTTCTGGGACGTCTGGACCTTGAGCCCAGGTTCAAAGCCCACGAGCTCAGCCGAAGGGCATCTGGGGAGTGGGATCTTGGCCGTGATGTTGTAGGGGCTCCAGGCTCAGACACAGCAGTGGCTCGCATGTACACTTTCCTCTGCTTTACACCCCACTCTTTGCAGCTGCGTGTTCATCTGGCACCTGGGCCCGGAGATCACCAACTGCATGAAGCAGCACCTGCTGGAGATCAATCGCCAGGAGCAGCAGCAGCCCAAGCTCCAGAAGTGGAGCGTTCCACCCAGGTCCTGCCAACCCCAAGACTGGTGAAGTGGCCTAGGCCAAGAAAGCCCTGAGCGGAGCCCTCCAGTATTCTTAGCCTGGGGGAATGTCAGGCTTTGGAAACAAAGTTCCAAACCACAATTTAAGAAAAGTTTTAACAGGAAGAATTGGTAGAAAGTGGTGGGCTCTGGTGGCGCACGCCTTTGATCTCAGCACTTGGGAAGCAAAGACAGGCGGATCTCTGAGTTCCAGGACAGACTTCAAAGCTACAGAGAAACCCTGTCTAAGAAATGTTTTAAAGTGCTGAATCCTCGTACTTAGTGAGCCCAGTGATGGGGAAGCCCTGGGGGGCCGGGGGACCAGAAGGACCTACCCACCCAGCAGCGCAGAAGGGTGCTCAGAAGAGGAACCAGTAGGGACTCCCGTGGCGCTGAATGTCCTCTTACCTTCAGCACAGAGCTGGTCCTCTGCTTACTCGAGTCCCCTAAGAACATTTCTTCAATCTTTATACTTCTCTCCCACTATTTGGAGTGAACTTGCACAGTTTTCTAGATAGTCTTGCTGTCTGGCCCAGGCTGGCCAGTCCTCCTGCCTCAGTTTCCAAGTATTCAGATATCAGAATGAACCACAATGCCTGGCTCAGGTTCTGGCTTGAGATTGAAGGTGTTGGGAAGTTTCTTCTCTAGGTCTGTCCCTCTCTGCCCCTCACTCTGAGCCTTGCTCTGGCCTCCATGTAGGCTCCAAGGTGCCTGTGAGGACTGGGCCCTGACCACAACCACTGGTCCTGAAGTGGAGGTGTCATGGGCTCAGGCACCAAAGGAATGTACCTCAGCTCGTACTTAGTTTTGAGGCTAATACTCCACCATGTGGCTCTCAACAGACAGGCTCCCATCTCACCCCATTCACTTCTATGCTTCTCTCCTTTCTGTTTTCCTTCCCGAAGCCAGGAGACATATGTATCTACACTGAGCGAGATCTGCTCCCTGAGCCCTGGAGAGCAGACAGAGGATGAGACGGAGGAGGAGTGTGACCCGGAAGAGTCACTGAAAACACCATCCAAGGAGAGCTTGGACCCAGGTTAGGGAAAGGGCCCGTTGGCCTGGGGTCCACACTGGGAGTGTAACAGCTGAGCCAGCCAGAAATGATTTGGTTGATGTAACTAAAAAATCAAGAACACTAGTTTCAAGCTTTCCTGGGCCCGAGGTCAGGTGATATCAAGGGGAAGGTACTTCCCACTGAGTGTTGTGCAATCGCCTGTCACCCCAGCATTCTACTCCATAGCAAGGTGAGGCTAGCCTGCTCAACAGGAGACTTTAAAAAAAAGATATCAGGTAGGGTGTGGTGGTGTATTCTTTTAATCCCCAAAGCCTGAGGATCTCTGTAAGTTCAAGGCTAGCATGGTCTACATAGCAGGTTCTCTACATAGCAAGTTCCATGACAGTTTGCACTACATAGAGAAACTGTGTCTCGGAAAGAAAGAAAGAAAGAAAGAAAGAAAGAAAGAAAGAAAGAAAGAAAGAAAGAAAGAAAGAAAGAGGGAGGGAGGGAGGGAG